GCATTTTAATTCAAAGAAACTAACAAACATTTGTAAAAAATGGAGAGAAGACCCAGAGACAATAAAAAATGAATTTTTTCCCCCCAAAAAAATTCCAATGTGTAAATGCAGTGCATCATTGTCTCTATAAAAACCATAAAGTGTGTGGAGCAGTGATAGCTCAGTCAAGTATGCGTTACCCGTCCAGTGCAATGAAAAAGAAAGTATTTTTGGTTTTATCCTTGTATGAAGCATTAATATTTTTTTTAGTACAAACAATCAGTTCTTCTGTCAGTATAATTTTATGTACTGATTTATTTTCAAATAGATAAATTCTGGTTCTGTTGCACCGAGAGCGAAAGCAATTCTTCCAACCTACTAATACTTGAATATATACATGTAATTGCATTTAACTATACCCAATAGGTATTTATTATTTATGTGAAGCATTACTAAGTTTTACATGTAGTAATTATTAAGATAAGTGGACTGATATATTAAATTCGACAAAGTATTTCAAACTAAATGTACACATTTTCCCACATGCATATCTTTGTAAAGTGTGTCTAGCTGTGGTCAGCTGACTAAATTGTAGACATTTAAACTATAAATGTTTTGTACACCTTATTCCTGCAGATCACATGTCAAACACGCCCATCTTCTTTGGTGACCTATGGAAAAATTTTAGGCGCCAATCAAAAAGTTTAGGCGCCATGGCGACTAAACTAGTTGCCAACTAGAGTCCTGCTTCATACAATTATGACCTAGATCTATCATTAATTACTAGACTATATCTCTAACGAACGAGAATTTATTTGACAAACAATTAACCTGATCACCTGCCCAGTTTACCAACTGTTGATTTTCAGTTTAGTTCAGTTCTTTATTCTTTGGGATGTACATCCCTTAAGCATTACAGTACAATATTATATATATAAATCAATTACATACATAGCACAATAGCATGTTATACACTTGCAAACTTGTGATACTAATGTACTATCATATAGCTGATTGTTTTAAGCATTCTAATTGTAATTAATAAGCATGATATAATATATTTTTCTGAAGCCAACAGGTACCTGGGACTGCTATTGTCTCATGTGGTCTACCTGAGCTCTTTGAGCATTGATGTGGTGTGAATTTCATTTGCATGTGCGTGACTAAAAACAAACAAACAAACAAGGTGACAAGGAAACACAAGATGTGTCCATTGCTCACTTTTTAACTTCTTTTCTCTTTAGAACTTCTTTTCTCTTTAGAAAAAAAAAAAATGAAAATATTCATAGTTTCGGAATTTTATGATCACCAAGTCAATATAAAATGGTCACCAATTTAATGACTTATAGAAAAATTTTAGGTGCCAATCTAATTTTTTAGACACCATGGTGACTAAATTAGTCACAAATTAGAGCCCTGCAAGCAGTAATTAGGGTTTTAAAAAGGAACTGAGGTTGCCTAGTTGTGAAAAACTGCAAATTTTGTGTTTATAGTTGCTTTGATTAGGAATATGTAAACATCAATATTTTTTAATGGTGGTGAACTAGGAGATAATGAATATATCCTTGGAATGTCAGTTTAAAAAATTTGCAGTCTAAAGCTCATGTTGGGTCATAATAAGAATAACATGCCATATAGTTTACATCTAATTTCTCTTCTTTTTTTTTTATACATATTGCATTTTTAAGTAGAAAATATAGATGATATGCATTACTCTAATCCTCAGGTTCTGAAATTCAGTGGTTTAGTAATATACATTTATTGACTGGGTTCAAGGGCAACATGCATTTTGTCCAACTCAAGAACCAAACTGTTTGCCTGAGGCCATTAGGCCTCGATCATGTAAACAGTTTGGCTCGAGGGGCTGACAAAATGCATAAGGAGCAGGCACAGATCCAGGAATTGAAGTTAGGGGGCTCAGAAAGTAGACGGGAACTGGGGGGCCATATTGAGGCCCCCAGAGGGTCCAGGGCAATTAGACCTGGTGGGGGCCAGGAGGCAAAGCCCCAAGAAGCTCCTGGATTATAGAGATTTTGTTGGGTAAAAATGAGGTCTACAGAGTAGACATTTTTACATTTTCTCAACGAAACTGTGATTTACAGTAACTTTGACAATTTTAGGGGGAAGCATGCTGGGTGTGCCCCCCTCCCCTTTAAATCTGCCACTGAAGAGAACTGTCAAAGCACCAATTATGCATTTTCCAATTGAAAATTGATCAACAATTTTAGGATAAACAACTATGGGAAAACAGGCATTTAGGAAAAAATGCTTGTTGTGTACTTGTATGGTGCAGTGTATTTTAGTTGTTCCACTAACTTCAATTTTTCAAAGTGTAAAAAGCATGTCGCATCATTGCAAGGTATCACAGATCACTTCCAATTTCATTTCATGCTTTTAAACATTAGTATCTAAAGCAAGATAAAGAGAAATTTTATTTTTCTTGAAATGTTAACTATTTGGCACATATATGGGGTACAAATGTTTACTTTTTACAGTCCATTTATAAGACTTCAAAGGACTTCGAATCATATTAAGATGCATGAAATGAAAATAGTTGCACAAAATAATCTATTTATTAAAGCTTCTTTTTGAGACTTTTTAAATTTAATTATGATTCTATGAGTTACTGTTCCTGGCTGGGAAGCAGATATCCTTAAATAATGTAATTGAAAGATCAATGAATAAGAAATTTATGCAAGAATTTTCTTATTTTCAATATGGAATACAGAAAGTACTTTCATAGTATTTAATTGTCAGGTAGACTTGTAAATAATAGATAAATAATAATGATACAACAAGAACTCCTTTTAAATTAGATGTTCTTTTCTTCAAAGACTAAGGGAGGCCAGTGTGAGAGGGAGTGAGGTGGGTTTACTATTAGTGATCAAGCACTAGTGTTTTAGCTCACCTGAGCCGAAGGCTCAAGTGAGCTTTTCTGATCACATTTTGTCCGGCGTCCATCTGTCTGTCTGTAAACTTTTCACATTTTCGACTTCTTCTCAAGAACTAATGGGATTCAAGTTTTTTCATATGAAGGGCCATGCCCTCTTCCAAGGGGAGATAATTACAAATTAGATTGATTGATTGATTGTATGTTGTTTAATGTCCTTCTCGAGAATTTTTCACTCATATGGAGATGCCACCACTTGCTGGTGGAGAGCTGCAATTTTTGTCCTAGGCTCGGCACTTACGGCCATTGAGCAGTGAGGGAACTTTTTTGTGCCAGCACCTACTGCGACACGGGACCTCGGTTTATACGGTCTCATCCGAAGGACCGTTCTCCACGTCCCACAGTGGGATTCGAACCCACAACATAAGGATCAACTCCTTACTTCGCGATTACGAATTAGTGAAAAAATTAGTAGCATCTTTTAAAAATCTTCTTTTCAATAACCACTGGGCCAGGAAAGATGAAACTCATATGAAATCATCCTCAGGTAGTGTAGATTCAAGTTTGTTAAAATCATGACCTCTGGGGGTAGGGTGGGGCTACAATGGACAATCAAAGTTTTACATAGGAATATATAGGAAAAAATCTTTAAAAATCTTCTTCTCAAGAACAGCAAAGCCATGATTGGTCATATTGATATGGAAGCATCCTCAGGTAGTGTAGATTCAAATTTGTTCAAATGATAAACCCCGGGGTTAGGGTGGGGTCAAAATGGGGGATCTCAGTTTTACATAGGAATATATGGGGAAAAAACTTGAAAAATCTTCTTCTCAAGAACAGCAAAGCCTTGTTAAGTCATATTGATATGGAAGCATTCTCAGATAGTGTAGATTCATGTTTGTTCAAATGATGACCCCTGGGAGTAGGGTGGGCCACAATGGGGGATCATAGTTTTACATAGGATAATATAGGAAATAAACTTGAAAAATCTTCTCAAGAACAGCAAAGCCAGGATTAGTCTTATTGCTATGGAAGCATTCACAGGTAGTGTAGATTCAAATTTGTTCAAATCATGAACCCCAGGGGTAGGGTGAGGCCACAATGGGGGATCAAAAGTTTTACCCAGGAATATTTAGGAAAAAAACTTTTCGAAATCTTCTTTTCAAGAACAGCAAAGCCATGTTTTGTCATATTGATATGGAAGCATCTTCAGGTAGTGTAGATTCAAGTTTGTTCAAATAATGACCCCCCCCCCTCCCCAGGGTAGGGTGGGGCCACAATGGGGGATCAAAGTTTTACATAAGAATATATAGGAAAAAATCTTTTCAAGAACAGAAAAGCTGTGTTTAGTCATATTGATATGGAAGCATCCTCAGTTAGTGTAGATTCAAGTTTGTTCAAATGATTACCCCCCACCCCTCACCCCTGGGGGTGGGGGTGGGGGAGGGGCAACAGTGGGGGATCAAATTTTTAAAAATCTTCTGCTCAAGAACAGCAAAGCCATTTGTTATATTGATATGGAAGCATCCTCAGGTACTTTAAAATTCAAGCCCCCCCCCCCCCATTTAAACTTTTCAATACTTAACTGATTTGTGCTTTTTCCTAGCCATTGTGCTCAGGTGAGCATTGTGGCCCATGGGCCTCTTGTTATTCAGTTTACATGGTGATAGTGACAAAGGGGGGCAAGAACATGCAAGTAAATAGATCTACTTTCAGATTTGTTATAGAGTACTAGACTATTTTGTTGTTCCCTTATCATCTTATTTCTCTTGCTTTTGGGCAGCATAGCTTCAACTATCAGTTTATTTTGTTTTATTTTATACTTCTATGAATAAGTCCTACCTCGACCAAACTTGCATGACTGATGCATCTAGGGATGCATACTTCCAAACTTGCTTCATATGCTGAATCTTACTTACATTTTTCAAATGATTGATCTAAAAAAAGTTCTTGAGCAAGTTCATTACCAACAAACTAAAAATCCTATTCTTACCAAACCTGCGTAAATGTTGCATCTAGGGATGCACAGTACCAGAACATTTGTTTGGTGAGGGACTTTACTTACTTAAAGATTACATTTGTTGATGTGTGGTTTGTGGTCTTTGATTAGGTATGTGTTGTTTCATTATAGATGCTGAAATGGACTGGAAAGAAGTTCAAAGGAGGCAGGCACCAGAGGTGCTTTGTTGTGTTTTAGGTCCATCCCAAGAGTATGTACAAAACACACTGGAAAACTTTAAGGAAGAAGTTGCATTGAGATTAAAGGTAACTAAAGGATTTTTATGTTGCAGGTATTTATTGTGGAAAAGTGAGACTGAGATCAAAAAGGTTTTATGGCCCCTGAGCCTGACATTTTTCACAAAGGCATATTTTTCATGCTAGCCTAATGCACTTCATGAAATATGTATCGGTGATGTTTCAAGTCATACATGTACCTTCATAAATTTTCAAAACTTTAAACATTTTTATAACATGTTTTGTTTCTAAAATACAAGATTTGTAAGAGTTCTCCTTGAATGCTAAGAGAGTATTTACCCATACCCCAACTCTGATGATTTTTTTAATGAAATCCTGGCTTACGATTGTCACGGAAGGGAGTGTAGTACTTGAATATAAATACCCAATCAACATAGAGTTATAATTCGTTTGTACACTTAGAATAACTTTCAAGTACTTAATCATTCTAATTGTTAATAAATATGAGGCTTGCGGAGTGTCTGTTCAAGAAAGTTAACTTACATCAGTAAGGAGCACACATTTTGGAACCTTTTTCTCCCTTTACTAAATTTCTTCAAAATTTTCTGTAAGTTATTTAAGGAGTTATATAATAAGTATAACCTGGGTTGGGGCAGTTTACACTTTATAAACTGCAAAAAAAGTGTAAACTGTCCCAACTCAGGTTATAAAAGTATTTATTATATACCCAACTGTTTGTCACTCAGTTTTACTGTTGAATTTATGCAATCATGTGACGGTGTGATCAGACGTTCCGGATCACCACACTGTGGTTTTCTGAATCCATATCACCCCTCTTTGATACTGATGACGTAGTACACAGATAAATGACGTTAATTTTCTCGCGCATCAACAAGTTCCTTGACAAAATGGTTTGTTCAATGGATAAAAGTTATGTAATTGATCCAAAAAGTTTCCTTTTATTATATTTTGCTAGTTGTAAAGGGCTATATAATAAATTTATCATTATAACAGTAACTTGATCCCAAGAGGCGCTTCGCATCTCGTTTGATCTGATGATCCGCGCCTGTCAACTTGACGTGATAAGGCTGACTTTGGATCAAGTTACTGTTATAATAATATATATTTATGCTGATTTACAAAAAGTGCCTGAAATAAATTATCAACCAAGGTTAGTGCAAATCAAGTCTTTTCATTGTCAATGGGGAAAGAGATTTTTAAACCCCATTTGGAAGATCAACAGATTTTAGATGATGATATGATATCACTACAGAAAAAAAGTAAGGTAAAAAGAATGTATGTATTTTATAGAATAAACAATAAAATCATTCCATATTGGTATTTACCAGATCAAACGAGACGCGAAGCGTCTAGTTTGTTCTGATGATCCGCACCTGTCAATGAGATGTGATACACCTCTTCGGATCAAGTTACTGTCATAATGATAATTTATTATATACCCCTTTACAACTAGCAAAATATAATAAAAGGAAACTTTTTGGATCAATTACATAACTTTTATACATTAAACAAACCATTTTGTCAAGGAACTTTGATGCGTGAGAATGGCATTTGTCTATGTACTACATCATCAGCTTCAGAGAGGGGTGATATGGATTCAGAAAACCACGGTGTGGTGATCTGGAACGTCAGATCACACTGTCACGTGATGGCATAAATTCAACAGTAAAACTGAGTGACAAACGAGTATATAATAAAAATTTATATCTGGAAGAGTAAATCTAGTAGTTCTCCAACTGAAATGATAGTTTTGGATTACTGCATGTATTTTTTATGCAATCCACACAGTATGTGTTACTTTGATACATACATAATCCAGTAATAAGTATATCTAAAAATATTCTCAAGGTTTTCAGTGTTTCTGTGTTTCTACAAGAGATTAATATAAATATATATATATATATATATATATATATATATATATATATATATATATATATATATATATATAATATACAGTTATGGAATGGGTATGAAGGAAATAGCAAATTTATGGTTCCCCAAGGGAGGGAACTATTTCCCCGAGGAGGCGAAGCCGCCGATGGAAATAGTTTCCTGCTGAGGGGAACCATAAAGAAGAAAGTACGTTACGGACCAAAATCGGCCCTGTCCCCAAATCTGATGAAGATATTTTTGAAACATGCCTAAGATGTCATCTTTTTAATTCATCTTAATTTTTGTAATTATCTCAACTCAATTTTCCTACAACGCTATTTGAATATAGATAGTTTCTTTGGAAAATAACACTATGACGTTATGACGTCAACCTAGCGACGCTACGCAAATACGAGGGTTGTTGGAAAGTTTGTTATATTACTTCCAAGAAATATTAAAAAAGAACACATTTTCTCATATAAAATATTTATTTGAAGTTTCATTCCATTCGATTTAACTGAAATCAATTTACTTAATTTTTAAAATCAGCATGTTTGGTATCCCTGGAGCTACATTATAACGTCAAAAAACATTGCGTCATGGTGTTTTCAAAAAAAAAAAAAATCTCCCATTACATTTCACTCAGTTTGGTCCAATAGCCACTTATTAAAAACGTTTCTCCATCAATTTTATTTTATATTGCTAACAATCGTATAATTTAATTTTGTTTGTCCATGTTTTATTTCTTTTTTATTTTACCGCGTAACTGTGCATTTACAAGATCAGCAACTGTGAAGCGCCTCTCTCTTTCCATGACTTTAGCAACTCAAAGTTTCTGTTCAGATATTTACAGATAATCCATTTTCTCACAGACCGCCCTTGTCTGATACAGAATTTTAATCATTCGAATACAGCCTCTATCATTTATACACATATGCACAAATCGCTTTTGACATTTGCTTCCTACAATATTTCAGAGTTTATTCTGAAGATTTCCAGAGTACAACACAAAATTTTGTTATATATACCTTTAAAATTGGTTTCTATATAAAGGATCACTTCTATATAAATAGGGATCTGACCTATTGGGCCGGGCTTGGTTTTTTCTCTACAAAAAGCTTGTCGATTTCCGTTCCGATTAATGACATTAGTCTGAATACATGTAACAATTTGTTTTTCATAAATCTTTATTTCAGTGAGTAGAGGTAGGAGGAACACTTTCATTGATATTCTGAGTTTGTTATCTCCAAATGTAATAATTAATATTTTTCTTTACTCCTCATTGTACATAATGGTAATGTTTACTGTCTCTTGAACTCTTTTTTATGTCTAGGCTATTTATTTTACAACACATTTCAGTTGGATATAATAAAAACATGCAATTAATGTGTGCAAATCATATGGGCCTAAATGAAATCCAAGGGAGTACAGTTTCTGATATATGTAACCCTACTGTTTCAAAACTTAAGATCTTAAAATATTGACTAAAAACAAAAGTACATGTATGTTATTCTAAATATATTAAGCTCAAATAATTCAAGCAATACGTAACATTCATGTACTACATGTAACCCAGACAAGCACTAGTAGCACAGACAGAATAAAAGCAATGTGATTAAATTCTAAGGAATATATACAATTGAAATTCATCGCAGCTCAATGCTGTTGAGAATACCTGTATCGAGTAACAAAGAGTGCGTTATTCTTGTCTTCGGAGAAAGTGTGCTATACTGAGACTTGTTCCGCCTGACTGACAACTGTATATTGGATTGTTACGATCTGATCTCTCTTTAGTGTTTCTTCTATCAAAAATGGGAATGCATAAAGGATAGATAATTGAAGAAACATACACAAGCCTATAAAAAAATTAAAATAGTCTTTGAAAAGGCAAAAATTTAAAACTATAAAAGTGTGGCAACAGGTGGATTCGACCCCCCGACTTTAAAAATAAAGTACCCACGATATAAAAGTCAGCGCAGCGCATATATCAAATGAGCTAATCTGACTACAATATTGAACGGTATAAATTTGAAACAGATTGTCAAAATCAAGTTTACTTGTTTTTTTGTAGGTTTTTTGTGAATTTCGACCCTAGGGCAGGGGTGCCCCTAAAAAAATCCTATCTTAAATTATTCCTTACATCCCAACCTATCAAAATATCACAATTTTATTTAGGGGCAGGCCTGCCCTGAAGGACTTCTAGGCCAAAATTTATGCAAAAATCAACGCTTTAACGGACAAAAGGTGTTTCGGCCAACTTTGGGGGTTTATTGTGAAGTTGTAGATAATAAATTTTAGTTGTAAAACTCAAATTTGAAAAATTTAGACATATATACGGTAGAAAGCAACAAATAAAGATTTTTAATGTCACTTTTTCCGGGAAATTGTTCTCTCCTATAGGTCAATTCTTTTGTAATAGCGAATACATCCTTTTTTATACCCATTCCTAATGTTGTACTGAGCGGTCATAAAAAAAATCGATGTTTGGCCGCGGAGTAAGATATTTGACCTGTCGATGAGAAATTGGACCGCTTACGTTAAAATTGTGGGCGGGATCAGTTAAATTTCATTTGCAATCGTTGGTGTTCGACAGTGACGAAATTGACCAATTTTAACCGCAGTGTAATTTAAGTAAATTTACATCATGGAAGCCTGCACAAGATACAAAGGTATAACAAAACATTTATTGACTAGGTTCTCGGGCAAAATGTGTTTTGTTGACCCATCGAATGGTTAAATAAAGGCCCCAGAATGAGACAAACAGTTTGGTTTTTGGGTCCGACAATATACGTACAAATAAAAGATGAATTTATATGATTTTAAAACGAGAAGGGGGGGGGGCAGAGTGAGAGAGAAATGCGTTACGTATATTTAATAGTACGTTTATTATAAGTATCCGATTATTCTAATTCAAGCAAGAGTTTGATTTTTAAAAGCTAGACTATTTTTTATGCGAATTACTTGGTTTGTTTTTAAGATTGCATTAAAACTTTTAACACTATTTTATAAATGTCAGATTCCCTATAAAATTTTATGAGAAAGCATTAAAGATATTTTCAAAAAGTATTTGAAATTTTAATTAATAGATAATTGAAAGGGCAAATTCCCCAGCCCATTCTCGCGATGCCATTCACGAATTTATCTAAGCAAAGTGTGTTTAAAACGTTTCTGTC